GAAGAGGTAATTATCGGGAGGAAGTGGGAGGGGAGCTGTTGCACTGTTGTAAATTGTGGTCAATGTCATGAGACAAAGTGGATGTGAACTGCTGTATGGAAAGTGAATTTGCTCTGTAAATCTTCACCCAAATCACAATTAAAAAAAAAAAATTTCCAATGGCAAAAAAAAAAAAAAAACAACCCACCAAATGTGTCTTGGAGGAAGTGCAGCGCAGCTAGAATGCTTCTTAGAAGCGAGAATGGTCAGATCATCTCACCTACTTTGGTCATGTTGTCAGAAGGGACCATTTCCTGGAGAAGGATACCATGCTTGGTAAAGTGGAGGGTCAGGGAAAAGGGGGAAGACCCTCAGTGAGATGGACTGACACAGTGGCTGCAATGATGGGCTCCAGTAAAGCAATGATTGTGAGGATAGTGCACCGCTGGGCAGTGTTTGGTTCTGTTGTACACAGGGTCACTATGAGTTGAAGCCAACTCAATGACACCTAGCAAACAAAAAATATAATGACCCTAAAAACCCAAACTCATTGTTGCCAAGTCAATTTCATCTCACAGAGATGCTATATAAGACAGGGTAAAACCACTCCACAGGGTTTCCAAAGCTGTAATCTTTATGGAAGCAGACTGTCACATCTTTCACCTGTGGAATGGCTGATGGGTTCAAACTGGTGACCTTTCAGTTAGCAGCCAAGTGCTTTAACCATTGTGCCACTAGGGATCCTCATTAATCTACATGTTCAAAAAATCTACAGTGCCTTCCTATTGCCTATGGTGCCAATAACTGATTCATAATTACTGCTGTCTTACAGGTTTTATGATTCCTTTACTTGACTTTCAAGAGCCTTCCTATCTGCCACTACCTGACTAATTTAACCATTTTTCTAGAAGGTCTCTGCTCCTGTCAGACAGGTCTTAAGCTCTCTCTTACAGGTTTATGACTTTCTACTGGCTCCTTTTTCCCTTTATCGATGTATACTTTAAGATATTCCTCAAGTCCTCACACCATTTTAAAACTTACCCAATTCCTATAGTAAAAATAGATTACTCTTCTCTGAACTTCTGCTGTACATTT